TTTTTCCCCTCCCCCCTCCCCTTCGTTCCCAACCACTGCCATAACGGATATGCGCGGGTACAACAGCCGAGAGTGAAAAGTCAACGAGCTCGTTAATTTAATTTACTTCGATGCCCGAGTAATTCTATCACCGTTCACAACTATGATGCTGATTTATACCGTCTCGCGATTGTTTTATCGCAGCTTTTAATGCTTGTGCGGATTTCTAAAGGGCATAGCAATTAATTTCGCCTCGTTTCCGGGACAGAGAATATTATACGATATTATTACGTAGCTCGACATTGAAGAAAGAATTTAATAATGATTAGAGATAAATCTCTGTAAATGATCGTGATAGATATTTTTCTTTTTTTTCGTGGTACACGATCGGAAACCAATTCGACACCCAAGGGACTAAAACTGTCATCTTTAATGGCCAATTTGAAATTCACCGTTAATCATTTTAACCTCGCCGTATATACACCGTCAAGAAACTTCACACCTCCACCACGTTGTTTTCCTCCTTCACATCTATGTATATATATATATATACATAGACACACAAGTTAGGTTTTTGAAATTCTAATGGGCCTTTGAATTTTTGCCACTCGCTGCGCCACTCGAGGAAGCCCATTAGTCTTTCAATTATTTTCGCTGCCCACTTCCACCGAAGCAACGTTTTGCAATTTAATTCGAATTCTCTCTTTCTCCTTCCCTCTCCTCTCTCTTCCCCCCTCATCGTGCCACGGTTTATCGACGAGCACGCGTTCCATCAACATATTCAATGGTCTATTAGCTCCGTCACGCTCGAGACGGACGAACCGTGACCTCGGTTCGAGTATAGAGGGCAGAGAAGAGCAGAGCAGAGAGGGGCACCCACACTCCATTATCGATGTATCGTCGATAAGCGCATAACCCGCAGAGACGACGGGGCGCCCGAGCCCCGGTCAGATCGCAAAAACAATAGCCCTGGAAACCGGTCGCAAAGTCATCTTCCGAAATTGGCAGGTGCCTTCCAACGCTCTTCTCCTCTCCTCGAGATCCCGCTGTTACCCTTCTCCCCTCCTCCCTTTTCTCCATCCAACCCCCCTTGGACTCCGGCTCCCTTCTAGCTAAAATCAATATTTAATCGGGCTTCCAGCTAGCTCGTACCTGTCGGCCAGGTGCGAAAACCGTGGAGGCACTGTTTCAAACCGATCGTGTAACGATCCACCGCCGTGGGGTATCTTGGAAATTTCTTTTGTCTTCGGCGATCTTTCGACGGATCGGCCGCGATAACGATCGTTTCGAAATAAGGAGAAGATTGGCCGATCTATCTTACGAGGATCCTCGAATGAGTTGACTTCTCCCAAATTTGGCGCCTCCCATCTTTCCCACCCTCGAGACGTTCCGCCTTGATCCCTCTCCTCTCCCCTCCCTCCTGGTTCTTTAACACGAAGTTAATGGAATTTTGACGGAGGATGTTTGGACGAGCGAACGTGTTATTCAGGTATTTCTGGAAGATCGTTATGCCGGTTATTTCTTTCTTTTTTTAAAAATAAATCTTCGATTAAAATTGGCACCCATCCATCCATCCATCCATCCATCCATCCATTCGTCCGTCCCTTCATCGTCAATCTTCCTCTCGAAGCATACATCGCGTACGCGCATCCCATAAATATGTTAATCGTTTATTAAACAAACGAACGTATGAATTCTACTCGGTCGAAGGCGATGCAATTTCGAAATTTCACCCGCTACGTTTCAGAGAAGAGAATTTTCGTTTTAATCGGTCGAGAAAAATGGGAGAGGGATATTTGTAACCAGAAATCGCGTTGTCAAAAATTAATGAAAAGAAAAAGAAGAAGAAAAAGAAGAGGAGGAGGAGGAGGAGGAAGAAGAAAGAGTCGGTACGGTAGTCGTATTGAAACGGTACACTTAGGCGCGCATTAGTCAAACAATTAAGAGTTTATAATGGCACGTCACATAAATAACGCGGTGCAACGGAACCAGGGAGGCGAGATGCGCTTGTATCCCTCCACGTGATGCAATGGATCACGTTAATGGAATACACGCGTACCCGTGCCCCATGCATATATGCATGTGTGTACAAGGATTCGCGACGTAGCACGCGTTCACGGGGTTCGATTCACGTAGGGGCGAGCGTGCTAATAAATAATGCGTGGGCGTTTCCATTTCCTTCCACCAGGCCGCTTTTCAATCACGTTGGCCGTGACAGTGACACGTTTTCATCGTCACCTCGTTTCATCGAAGCGAGAAAGTAATTTTACCAGTGGCAAATGGCAAAAGTTGCGATACAGATTTTTTTTTAACAATGATAACAGTAATTTTTCAAATTTTAATCCATCGAAATATTGCAACTGTGTTACGAGTAAAATTTATTCACGATAAACATTTATTCAAATATGATACTCCTTTCGAAAAAGAAGATATTTTAGGTAAATAAATCTAAGAGAAGGAGAAAAGTTGAAAACATTCCCCTCCGCGCGGAAGATCATCAATTTCCAACGAATCCCCAAATTCCATTTCCACAAATCGAAGGGAGGAAGATTCGAAGCGTTTGGGAATACACGAATCGAATACACTCGCCGTTAAAACAATTTCCGGATAAACGGCGTCCGAAAGGAGCAATTGGTGGCCGGCGAAGTAGAAAATCTCGTTGGCTGGATTCCATTCCGTTCCGCGTTGGCTCGCGGGCCCGTTTCGTCGGGGTTCGTTGACCGCCCGTTCGATGCGCGCTCGCCTTCCAAAAAACCGGTAATCAAAGAGATTATAGTGGGCTCTCGTTCCACCCGTGATCGTGATCGATGAATTACGATTTTCGATGATTCCCGGTAATCCGCGCGAGCTCTCCCATCATCCCTACTACGGCAT